GAAAACTAAAAATATTTCTACAAAATGGTTGTTTAAGCATGTTTAAGATTAAAATCTCCAAAATATTTTTTAAAACTCATTTTCTAGGTTGCCTTTCATATAACATAGGTGGTTATGTTCATTTTTAAATGATTTTATGAAAATACAACTTAGAGTCCGTTTGGCTTAGCTGATTTAGAATAGCTGATAAGCATTAGGTGCTGAAAAGCACTTTTAAGTGCTGAAGCTCATTTAAAAAATAAGCAGTTATGTGTTTGGATAAAAGTGCTGAAATTAATAATATGTAGCTGAAGAACTGGATATACGAAGAGTTTTGTTTTAAAAAGAAGTATTTTAGGGATAGAATATTAAATATTTTGGTCAAACTTAAAGTGCTTATAAGCTGAAATTTGATAAGTTGGCGGAGACCAACTTATGGCTTTTGGCTTATTTTTGGCTTATAAGCACTTTTAATTTTACCAAACGCGTAGATAAGCCAAAAAGTATTTATAAGCCAGTTTGACCAGCTTATAAGCTTAGCCAAACACCCTCTTAGACGATTCAATCTCAATAGTATGAAAATCAAAAGAACTGTATTGTCTATAACATCAAATATAAGTAGCTAGTATATATATCCACGCTTCGTGTGACTACAAAATTAAATTAAAATATAATTCAATTAGTGCCATTATTTATATATAAAAAATTAAATTTTACTAATCAAAATATATTAAGCGTGAAACCACCTAATTCACTCATAATATGTTAGCTGGAACAAGAAAAACAAAATTGAGAAAAGGAATACAAAATAGAAAGTAAAAACTAATGCAAAAGAGAAGAATATTATGCAATAAAATTAGAGGATGTAAACCTGAGATGCCGGTCTGCATTTTTTCCTTCCTCTAAGTATTTTTTTTTACTATGAACTGTTGTTATGTTTTTTCATATATGTCAAATTAAAAACCTAAGAAGGAAAGGAAACCAAAAAAAAATGATTATGCATATACATAAGCAACCTTCAACTTCTATTTGCTAGAATTTGGATAAGTACACACCAAAAAAGTAATTTTTATATTCTTTATTAAATTACATAGCATTTGAATAACTTGAAAAAATGATGTCGAACTTGTGATCGCTCCTAATGTATCAGATGGTCACCAGTTGCAATTTCACATAAGAAATTACAAAACATACAAAAGGTAATTTTATGATTTACTACAAACTTAACGTAATAGATGAGTAATTAACTGATATAACAATTAATAAATTGTTATAAATAGAATTCTATTTACGGTGAATGTCCATATTTAGAGAGATTCTAGGGTTTATTACTTGGTGGCTAAGTCAACCTCTCTCTATAAATAGAGGGTTCTATTCCATTTAATTCATCCCATATCAATAAGAGTTCTCTCTCTCTACTTTTCTCTGTAATACTCTTCTTCTTTTATTATTTCATAACACGTTATCAGCACGAGACTCTAACCAATTGAGTAGAAGCTTTGGGATTGAGCATAATGATTGTCAATTGTTCCATGAACTTTATTCATGATTAAATTCTGGATTTAAGGTAAGTATTTTACCGTATTTTCCTCTTTTATTCTATACTTTGATTTTAAATACAAGCAAAGAAAACAAAGTTTGATTATAACTCTAATGGAGTTTGTAAGAAATTATAACCACCTGAAGTGGTAAAATTTCTATGCCCGTCATGATCAAATTCATGTATGATTATGGGCACAAAAAGTGGAAACCCATCCCATTGAATTAGCTCCATTCTCATTCCCTTAAGAGAATGTGATAGCAGTATGTGATAAGTCTGAAAGAAGACAAAATTATCACTATGAATGTATCAATGGATGTGGACGTGGCAATAGACGAAATTATAATCGTCATCATTGTGATAATGAGAATAATAAGTATTCTCAAAATAATCCCCCACTTGTGAAAATATTTGTCATCGATTTGGCATGAGATTTTATAAAGCACATATAGATGATTATGGTCTATTTATGATGTGAATGTGACAACATCTGATTTAAGAATACATATTCATTTTTGGAAGAATATGAGCGTGCTAGTGGTATATACCACACTCACCTCTAGAAGGAGGTTTGAGATGATATACGAAAATAATATCATTATTATGGCATGAATGGTCATTGGTCACGTACCTATTGTACGCCAAAATATTTTGGCATTGTGATTATTAAAAGTCAACGGTAATGCAAGAAACAGATCTTGCATATAATTTTGACCATAACCATAATGGTATAACTTTCTCTTTAAAAGAGATATCACCACATGGATGTTGATGAATCTGTGGTAGTACAAATTAATTGAGAGCTCTGGAAGAGCCAATTATTACTATTTTGGAGAAACACAATTAATTACCAATAAGGTATTGTGTTGTAGTAAGTCTCAAAGAAACTTATTCAGTTTCAAAGTATACGCGAAAGCGGTTGATTATATTGAGACTATAAATAAAGGAAAGATTTAATATCTTCTATTACTACAACTTGTAGCGGGGTAATATGTATGTGAAAAGCTACCCGCTTTATTCTCCAATTTGTACTACATAAACAAAAGAATACCACAATGAAGTGGATATTTATTGATATAAAAACCCATATCATAATAAACTTGGAGTTTATTCATAATTGCACACATCATGGTGTAAACATGAAGTTTATCAATATTGATAATTTATCCAGTTGGCATACTTGGTTTAGCCATGTTAATTCATGTTTGATGTGCAAAAATAATAGAGAATTCACATGGGTAAATATTAAAGAACTAGAAAGTTCTTTACGAATTCTCTTATATTGCTTGTTCTCATTAATTAATAGATCAACTAAAATTGGAATTGAATCCCATGAATGCTGGAAATATCAAAGGTGAATATGGGCTCATTCACCTGCCATGTATACCACATAAGATGCATCTATGAGATGGTTACATGTGCGATTATTATTAACCCGCAACATGGTGTTTGCGAGGTAACTTGCTCAATAATTTGATTTAGAGCATAATTTCCAGATTTTTTATTCAAGATAGTTCATCTTGATAAGTTGGTTTACATCACAGTTGGTTTAGAAAAATGCTTTATTGAGTGCCTCCACTTAATAGCTAAACGATTGCTTATGAGAACAAAGTTATCTATATCAGTTTGATATACGTTATATACGAAAGTATATTAATTTCTCCCCTCACAGGTGGTTCATGGTCAGGAACCAAATAACTCCATCTTATTATTATTGATGTGCGCTGTATATTTTGATTAACACCATAACGCACAAAGATGGGTTCTCAAAGTTGAGAAAACAAGTTAGTTTTTCTAACATGAGGGGGAGACATGATAAACAGTTGAGAAAAAGTTACGTGGAATGAATTATCATTTGTACATCTAGATCCTCGAATAAAATAATATGAACTTGAAGTTCATAAAAGGATAATTCAGTTGCAATATATTGCAAAGCATGCCAGACGCATTTGCTGACCCAAAGAAAGCAACTATATTCTCACTGCAAATGCTCCTATTAGAATAAGTCCTAGAAGGACACAAAGTCTATGGTACGCTTAAAGCGTATAGACAAATCGGTTTCAAATAAACTTCTTGATAAAGAAGATGAACAAATGATCTAAATGATCATAATAAAGGAGGCAAGTGATCTAGAAGATCACATGACATAACACTTCATAAAATCTCATGAGAGATTCAGGTACCTGAATATATGAATGAAGAGATCTCTATGTTATGTCTTTATGAAAAATAAGGAGGTTGGAACCGATATAAAATGTTTGTCGACGACATCTATAATAGCGCTAAATATATATGAGGATCTTAAGTCTAGAGAAACAATTCAAATAGAATTGGTTTCATATGAAAGACATGTAGTTTTGGACCTTCAGTTCAAACACTTGAAAGTATGAAGCCAATGATATGTGCAATCAGTTTTCGATATCTTATTTGTCTAGCATGACATGAAAACTTGATATGCATCTAATTAAAGTCTATTATATGACTTATATGACAATCCTTGAAGGATTTAAATTGCTTGAAGCATATACAATTCTTGATCTTGAAGTACCACTTCCTCAGTGCAATTTGTGCACAAATGTATCTTGCTATAACTATATGCATGATAATATGATAGCAAGAGTTTTCACCTCTATGTGAAGATATTGAACTGAAGATTCCAACAAGATCATATGAAGACATTATATCTCTATCAAGAATGATGATTCCAAGGTGCAATATATTCATTCAAGTTAATATGGCTGATTTGTTTATCAAATATCTACCAAAGATCTTTTGAAGATGGTGCACAAGATTGGAATGCAAATGCTTAAGGATGTGAATTGATGCTCTCATCAGGGGGAGTTAATACGCGTTGTACTCTTTTTCCCTTATAAGGTTTTGTCCCACCGGGTTTTCCTTGCAAGGTTTTTAACGAGGCAACCAAAAGGCGTATTGTTAGATATGTGTACTCTTTTTCCTTCTCTAGAATTTTTTTCCCACTGGGTTTTATTTTAGTTAAGGTTTTAACGAGGCACATTATCTGTTGAATAGACATTCAGGGGGAGTGTTATAAATAGAATTCTATTTATGGTGAATGTCCATATTTAGAGAGATTCTAGGGTTTATTACTTGGTGACTAAGTCAACCTCTCCCTATATATAGAGGGTTCTATTCCATTGTAATTCATCACATATCAATAAGAATTCTCTCAATCTACTTTTCTCTGTAATACTCTTCTTCTTCTTTTATTATTTCATAACATAAATCAATAAATTTGTGAATATTCACAAGCAAAGGATAAAAAGTGCACAAATTAATTAACTAAAAGTTAAATATGCTTAGTTAAGTATTACAAGCACCAAAGTCAGGATTGGCCCTGTCTTTGAGTGGTTTTTTAAGGAGGTTTCCTTTATTTGCTAAATTCAAAAAAACAGTCGCAGCTGCGTAATGCGATTAACTGTGATTTGTGATTGCGATTTATAAGTCGTGCAATTTATAAGCAAACGATTTACGTTTCACAAACTCTACAGCTGATACTTGGTCAGTTAACTACTTAACGTCAACAATCCCAAGTCCGCCGTTCTTCCCTTCATAGTAGTGAGTTAGAGCAATGGCTACGCCTCCAATCAAAGTGATTCTCTATATGCAATTGCTATCTCTATTTATCGTAGCATTTTCTGTTATACGAATCAACTGTAGTTGGGATGCAGAAGAAGGATTACTACGAAAGCGAAGCGGAGTACATCAGAGACAGTTTGATTACTTCAAACTCTCTCTCCTTTGGCCTGCCACCGCTTGCCGCAATACAACTCGCTGCTGTTCCTCCAATGCCTGTTGCCGGTAAATCATAGGACTGTATTCCGTTTACAGATAGTAACGCATAGTTAATTGACCGACTGATTTCTTTCAATTTTCTTCGATTTTTTTCTCAGGTTGTAATTGTATTATATCTAACGAATTTTAGTAAATTAATAAGCTAATTGTGCGTTTTGTAAGGATATTTGATAAGGATTTAAGTTATATATAAAATGACAGTGTTAATATTCTTTTACACTTTCAATGAGTGATAGCATGTTAGTTACCATTTTTACCAGCTTACCTTTTAATGTTTATCTGAGATTACCTTTAATTAGTTAATAGGTGACCTGATTGTGTAACTATTTTGTTCACCATCAGTGCATAGAACTTAAACTCATTTGATAATATTTGAAGGACGAGGCTTACCTTTTTTATTTTATTTTTTATTTTTGTATTTTTTCAGCTCGAACTCGCCATCCGAATTCACAATTCGTAAGTCGTGCTCCTATTGGAAAGGATGCATATTTATGTTTTTCCTTGTTGTGTATTGTGAGAGCTGGATATATATGAATAAGGTTTATTGTACTGCAGATGGACTTTGGGCTGATTACAATGATGGAACTTGGCCTGCTTGCTGTTCTGGTCCCCAATTTGATAAGAAAGAGGTAGATTGCTAGCCTTTTTTCCGCGCACCACCCTTTTATTCTGCGAGGACTGCTTAAAGAGAGAAATAATTGGTGGAACTGTTAACTGCTTAGATAAAGATCTGTTTGAAGAGAGAAATAATTGGTGGAACTGTTAATGTTTACTCCATTGATCTAATTAGAATATTGAGAATTCAGCATTGAGACTGAATAAAGAATCTTATACTTCTTCAGCTTTAATGGTGTATCCCTTTTCTACTGCCTGTTCATCTATAAATATCCATCAATACTGGCTCTGAAATAATTTGTGTCATGAGCTTTATATATCCATTCATTCTGTAGATTTCAACATTGCTCAAACCCTTGAGGAAGTACTGGCCTTCTTTTAGTTGCGAGGCCGTCTCAAATTGCCATCATGGAAAAGGAACATTTTGGGCTCATGAGGTGGTTTTCATTGTTACTTGTACTGTATGATTGGTAAAGAATTCAATACAATTCAAGGAACTAACATGTCCTCCTCTCATCTATTGTATGCTGACCCTGGGGATATTCATTTTCAGTGGGGTAATCACTCTTTGCCTTATTCAGTTTATAATACCTCGCAAGACAATTGATGGCTTTGAGCTATTATATAAGTTTGATTAAAAAGAGAAGCAAGATTCTTTACTTACCAGAAGGATTTACAAAATAGAAAGGACCTTATTGCTGACATCTCTGAACAATATAGGTTCCTTCTTTTCCTGGATATTAATTACCTCAAAAGTTTACGTTCTTGTACATTCTCACTTTACATATTCCTTTTTTTCTTTAAAATTAGCCTCACAACCCCCC